ATGAAACTTCACCGCCAGTATTCAATGTTCCGGTTAAACTAGAAGCTACTTTAGCATTTGCTACCAAAATCAGCGCTGGACCTAAGTTGAAAAGTCCGGGTACGCTTAAAGTAGTTAATGGAATTTCGGCGATTTGAATATCGGGGGATGAAAACGGGTTGATCGTTACAGAAGCCGATACGGCGATATCAACATTAATTCTCAGGTTTCCTGATATTGAAATTGTAGCGTTGGTTATATTTAAGGGAGTGCCTGAAACATGTAGACCAATTGTAGCTGATCCATTTGTGAAACAATTTGTGCATACTAAAGATTCACTTGTGTTGTTTTGTCCAATTGACAATGTGAAGTTTGATTTAGATGATGAACCTGTTCTTGAATCAAATAAAATTCTAAGATCAAATTCAGTTTGTTGATCCGAATCTCGAAGGTGTAAGTTTTTTGTTCGTTTTTTAAGTGGTTTTATAGATTGATCCCATACGAGATCAAATGAATAATTTTCTGTCCATTTTAAAACTTCACAAGGTTCAGATGTAAAATTGACTTGCTTTTTTATTTCGTCGATTGATTGGTTTCCTACTAAATAAAATTGCGTTGTGGATTGTCCAAAGCATTTCCATTTGTCGCTAATCAAAATGATGACCTTTGATGGCCAATTTAGTATATCATGAAGAGCCGATTCGTTACTTAACGTTAAAGTGATTTTTCCATCTTGGCCACATTGAATGTTTTGAACATATTCGAAGTTATCAGGATTTATTGATGATATGTTTGTGTTGAGCTCTATATTTGCTACATGTCCTGGACCATTAATGGATTGTGCATATGACCCGTAAATTTTGGTAGTCGGATGGAATGGTTGGTTAAATGAATTTTTGGGTGTCTTTACAATGAATGATGCATTCGTTACTGCTACGATAATGCAAATTTCTAAAAGAAAGTGATAGATCAGAAGTTTGAACATCTGAAGTTTATGGTAGCCCGGTTATATTAAAATTGGTAATTTTAGGAATTCGAGAGAAAAAGGTAATACTAACGTCCAGACGTTAGCGTAAACAGAAACGAATGCAAAATGAATTAATTGACGAAGAATAAAAATATTTATTCTTATATAAGTACATTTCGTTATAAATTATACCGTTATCTGTAATTATGTCCATTTATGGTATCTGTGTTCATTTAGCGAAACACTTAAATTATCATATAGAAGATGAAACAAATAATGCTAATTTTTTTTTGTCGATAAAGAACTGGCACTATTCATTTATAACACAAAACTAACCAAAATTGTAATGCACTAATTGATTTATTAGATTTTCACACTCGAATTAATTGAAATTTTAATATTGCGCATACAGTTTAGTGTACTAGAAAAATCTTAATGCATCACACGTCGCGTGATTTTTGTTTGTGCCACATTACCACATATATGGCAAAAATGATCGATGGGTAGAAATTTCATCCGACAAACAAAGGTTCTTTATTAAAATACTCATTAACCATTTTACATTTTGACAATTTATCACGGATATTATATGCAATATACCACCTTACATACTATTATCAAAATAAGAGTCGAAAGCATGACAGAGATGGAAAATAATAGTGAATAGAAAAGGCGATCATTGTTATTGCAAATAAATTAATGTTTAATTTTGAATTCTACTGGTTTACTTAAATACAGATTAGGAAAAAGATTGAGCCAGTTTCTTGACAACTCTTGACAAAATCTCCTTACTTTATTACACAAATGTTATAAAAAAAAAAACCATAACAATTAATGATTGGTTACGACGTATAACAGATATGTGAGCACTAGTCCTATCACAAATAATAGTAATTTAACAACCTAGCAATATTTTGCGTAACAGCACATTGAGTGAGGTTTTGTAATCTTAGTATCGCATAATGTGAATAGCCATATTCAAATGGTCTTGTATTATATAGATGCACATTTTCGTGGCGTTCTTGGCGATTAGATTTATGAGAACCGAAATAATCAAAGAACAGCTACCGAAAAAATATTGTTGTGAATGTTTATCAGACAACATCGTCTTATTGACCTTTGGCATGTTCGAAGATCAATTTGGTTGGGTAGAGTTTCTTTATTTTTCAGATATTAATTCCTCGTTCTAAAAAAGTTATGACACGAGCAATCAAGGCTGCAAGTATACAAAAAAAAAGTGTCGATTAAGACGTTGCTAATGTGCGACTCAAAAATATCATAAAATGGGATGACTCGAATCATCTTGTATTCCTAATTAGAAATGCCAGGATAATATACTAGGTTATTATACACGTCTTTTATGATTTATACTTATTAGCAAAAAAATGCACTCGTTCTCTGGTTGGTCATTCTTTTTTGCGCGATAAAATGGTATTTAAGATCACTTTTCTGTTATTTCTGAATTCCTATGATTTGTTAACCAAAACTTTGAGATACATTTCAAATTGTTATGAATTTTCTTATACAATAAAGACAGTTATATATTCCCATTCCAATATTTGAAACTACTGATCCTGATGAGTGAATGCTTCAAATTGCACGACATACGTGAATTGGAATTTTCTCGAACAAATACTTGCCGAATTTTATCAGTAATGAATCGAAAATCGATTAATCGATTATTGCGGTTTGCAAAAAATGTGAAATTTGCAGATCAAAAAAAAAAAGAAATCGATGATTTCTGATTCTGATTGCCGATTTCTTTATAGAAATAAAAATTGTAGATTCGTAATTTTGTAACATATTTTGATTTAGCATCTTTTGTAGGAATATAATTTGCATATTCATGTTGTAAAGAACTTGATTGTGTAATATTAAATTTTGTTTCTTTTCTAGCCCAATAAAATTTACTATTGCAGGTAAGCAAGAAGAAAATTTAAAAATTGCGCCAAATTCGATCTTATAAGAATTATTACATGATACTAGAAAATTAATTTGTTTATTACTGATAGAATCATGGAATTTAAAAGTAAAAACATAAGGAACTTTAGGCCACGCAAATTTAATTTATTGGTTCTCGTAACATGAAACTTTTTAAATAGACCCGGCCGGTCGCTTTTTTTTTTAAAAAAACTCACCTGATAAAATTTGTCGAATGATTTTTCGGCCGATCCAGTTAAGGGTGTTCTCAAGTAGCACGTTCGATGTGATTATGTGATTAGCTATTGATTGAAATAATGCACAACCATTATGCCGTTATTAATTAGTTAAAGACCGATAGTATGGACGATGATATGATTGAAATATGCTCTTGTATCTTCCACAATGGATTAATTTGTGTTGGTGCTCAAGGATTATGATTAATTAAAATATTGACTGCAATTGATGCTTGAGCAAACGTCTTTATCATTACTACCATTTAACAACTATTGTTTTTACAAATAGAAAAAAAAAAAATTAAATAAACCAAAATAAAATAATGAAAAGGATGGATCAGCGAAAGGATAAAGAATCTACGAAATTCTGTTTCTTCTTTTTTCGGAATTTACTACGAACCAACAGAACACAAAAGATGCCTTTTTTATTTGCGGTGAATATTTTTAACATAAGTAATAGGTTAATAATTTGTCGACGCTGATAATGATTTTGAAGGTTCATACGATAATGATAATAATGTAAATAGAGAGAAGTACTTGAACAATTATTTTTTCTAATTAATTGATGAAAAATTTCGACAAATAAACGTAACTCTATGATAAAAAAAAGGATGCCTGGGCCTCTATCTCTTGTTGATTAGAATGATAAATACCCTTGGTCGGTTAAACGAACTCCCGCCAATAAAATTTTTCTTTCTGACGTATTAACCTTTCGTTACGTGTATTGTTCATTGGAATAATCAATACAATTGATTCGTTAAACTATTTTTTTACTAATAAAAATTTACCCTCAGACCCGTTCCGACGGGTTGATTAAGGTGCTTGAGAACACCTAAGTTATTGATTTCGGCATGACTGGTATATAAAAAATAGATTTTTTTCATATTACATGTAATATAATTTTATCATTATTTTCAACGTTATTAAATTTTCGTTTGAATAATTGCCCGACATGTTTATTGTGTTTAGTTTGTAATGCCATTTGACACATCAAATTTCTTATTTTTTACTAGTGAAAATTTGATTGAATTTAGTCAAGTAAGTGTCAGAAACACTTGTGCAATCTAATTATAAACAAGTGAGTATTTCTCACATTTCATATGTATCGATGCTGTTTGATTATTCAAATATAGATACTTAATTTAATTATTTCCACATAAAGCTAGATCATTCAATTGTCAGCCAAATTAAATAACGATAGTTTATACTAGAATGCGTTATTAGGTTAAATTGAGATGTATGCTTTATTTAGTTATTATTAATTAATTACAAATTTAGAAAAATAAAGTGTCAATTCAGCTATAGATTAATTAAATATTATTATTATTAGTAAGTTTAATTAAAAACTATAAGCAAACAAAATATATAAATAACAATTTTTAACCACTTATCAAATAAATCAAAAGTATTGAAATAATACTCTAAAATTAATTCTGATATATTTCAAGTTAATCTTGGCAACCTATTATATTACATATAAAATTTTGCTTTAAAATTATAGAATTCCAATCTAATAATGAAAAACATTGCATTAATTGCAATAAACTGTATCCAATTTAACTTTTTCTAAAGAAAAATAGTAGTTCTACTTTTAAAATATATTTAATTTGTAGAAATAAAAAAATAAGCAAAATATATAAAAACATGCCAATATGAATGCTCTAGTAAAAATACATACTACTTGTATTATAATAGAAAATTTGTTTCAATCTTGGAAGCTATTAAGAAACAAAATATTAAAAATTTTAAATAAATTATTGATATTAATAATTATACAATTCCTAAAAAAAATAGCAACATATATTGTGAATAATATTCTTGTAGTAATTAATTTTAAATTTAAAAATTATAAAAAAAAAAAAAAATAAAAACTAACTCTTTTGCAGTTATTTTAACAGAGTTCTATTAATATTGGATTATGTTATATTATAGTCTAACCTCATTATAGTTACTTTTAATATAGTCACAACCTTGTTATAATCACACTATTTTTTGGTCTAGCTATTATTAAACATATAAAATTTAATCTTTATTTAATTACAACTTTTTATAATTACCAAAATTTTGTTTTTCAACCTGGTGATTATAACAAAGTTAGACTGTATTTAGATACTATTGTACCAATTGCTTGATTAATAAAAAAAACTAAAAAAATATAAAGATTCTGAAAAGCATAAAAGTTATTTATTTATATAATAATTATATTGTGAGAGTTGGTTAATACTTACAATAGACACAAAAAAAATTAGATTATCTCTTAAACTGTAGACAATTTCAGGCAAATTTGCCTAAAAAATTGCTATAAATTTGTTTATGATTTATTTTTTTTATAATTTAAAATATTTAAATAAAATTTCTTTTGATAATATTTGAAAATAAGGATTATATTATAGTAGTATTTAATTTTATATTATAAGAAAAAGGTTTGAGTAAAAAAATATCAAAAAAAATAAATAAATAAATAAATAAATAAATATTAAAAAAAATTCTTTCATGTCTTCTTTACTCTATAATAACAAATCTCGAACTTTGAGTTTTGGGATTACTTTATAATTAAAACTAAACTAACATAATATCAATATATATTAGTTACCTTATGCTATTTCAGTATCTAGATTTTTTTTTCTTTTGAATAAATAAATATATTTGTAACTATGTCCAAAATTATATACTTATACTGTACAATAGATGTTCAGTCAAAGCAGTAATCTCCAATGCATGACAATCATATAGAAAGAAGAATAACTGGTTGCTAACAATAACAACCAGTATGCTTTCAACACTTAGATGAGGATCAGCATAAAATAAGCAGATAAATAAGCTCTATTGAATTTCCCATTTAATTTTTTAAATTGATTACTA